AAATTCCAAACTTGTTTTCTTAGTTTTGAAATGGGTTATACTTATCCTCTTGGTTGTGAAATTTTCCCATAGATAAAAGTGAAAATTACACAAAAGTATACTTTAAGTATTCAATATTCCAAAATAAGATTGGAAGTTTGGTATTTCCAAAATCGGATATTTTATTTTAATTAAAATTTATATAAAATAAATAGACTGCAATTAATCCCTAATTAGTTCTCACCCTTCTCTCTACATTTTCACACCAGTCGCAAATACCCATCCAATGCACACACATTACAAACCCTAATTATAGATTTCTCCACACTCTCTCTACTAAGAAAAATTGATTCCCTCTATTCTCTTTGTATACCAATCGCCGTCTTTCTCCTCTGTTTTTCTCTCTCATCGTCGTCTCTCTCACCGGCATGGCACCAACTCATAAACGGCGAACCTCTCTACCTCTCCTTCTCTCTCTCCTCCTCGTCGTTATCGGCACGATACGGCACCAATGCTCACAGCGGCGAACGAAGTTGCTCATTTTGTACGGTGGTTTGAGCTGCCTCGTCCGATCTACTGTGTGATGGTTTGCTAGGGGCGCCTCGAGAGCAGCCGCACTGGTTAGTCTGCTGCAACCGCACTGGTTAGTCGTGTGGTGGTAGAGGTGGCCAATCTGTGGTATGTGTGCCGATTTATGTGTGTGCTGATTTGTGTGATTTGTGTGGTAGTGCTGGAGATCGATGCTATGATATAGGTGGTGTGGTTGGATGCGGTGGTGGCAGTTGGTGGGTGGGTGTGTGTGATATGGGTGCTATGGTGTTAGTGGCCTAGTGGGTGTGTAGTTCTGGCGGCGACGATGGTGGTGGTGCTGTGGAGGTTGTGGTGAGGTGGTGGGTGGCGAGACTGCACTATGGTGGTGACTTTTGTGGGGTGTTTGTGATTTTGTATCTAGTTTGTTGGTGGTAAGGTGGTGCTAGTTGCGGTGTTTGTGATGACGGGGCTGCCGGGAGATGGTGGTGGTGGTTTTGGCGACGACAGTTGCAAAGCCGATGCAGTGGTAGAGTGGTGGTCACAATTGTTGGTTTCGGTCACAATGATTTAATCTGTGACCTCAAAACCTATAAACAACATGTGACCAATGAGAAAGAGGAATTGTGATCAAGAAATAATATGTGACCTTAAAATTTGACAATTTGTAACTAAAAATTAATTTGTGACCAATAAATTTGAAAATATGTGACTGATAGATAACTGTGACATGTAATTTTTTGATCCGTGACCAATAAAATAATCTGTGACGTATAAAAGTATTGATTTGTGATATCGAAATAATCTGTGACNACATATATATCGACAATTTTCCATAGTTTGTGGTCTAAATAAATGCGCAAAACGCACTTATCAATGACTTGGTAGTAGTCTCCTTATTATTCAATAGCTCCATAACATATACTCGGTGAATTTGCTTTTTTCAATTTATTTCATGAGTATATTACCAATTTTGTTGTCAAGATATTTAAAATGAGACATCAAATTTGTCTCAAGCTAATTTCAACATAAACAGAACTACGTAATATTTTCAAATGTATACACAACTGTGATACATATTTTTGTGACCATTATGATATATTTTTCCTAAAAAGTAAGCAGTATTTGAATCTCGTAGCTCAATCCATTATTTCATGATTTTCTGTCTCCAAAAAATATCATTTGCTTTGTGCAAGTTGGTGTAAGCAGCAAGCAAATCTATCTTTGCAAATATAGACTCAAAAACTATATTTTTAATAAAATACATAAAACCCTTGCAACTTTTCACACGCCCTCTATAGGAGATCAATGTAATTGCCGGCAAGGTTGGGACACTCACACTCATTTTATTAAGCTAGGCATCTCATGCCACAATTAAAATGAGAATTGATAATTATTTGGCCTGTGAATAATTTTGTTGGAACATTCTATAGGAAGTCCATCAAAAATTTTCATCTGTAAGTGTAAAAACCTCCATTAATATTTTTTTCTAAAATATTTGAAATATATGAGATATTATCTACAAGATAAATATCCATTCATTCATATCCACAAAAGAAATAATTATATAAATTATAATCACTTATTGCTCATCCTAAAATTTAAATTACAACAAAAAATTAAATTATTCCGTTGAGCCACATTTCAGTACAATTCTTTTAAGTGCAAATTACCAAATTTCCTACTTTTCGAGATTTAATTTCCAAAATCAAATTTCAAGTTTTAATTTTCAAAAATCAGATATTTTTAATTAGATACATATTATAATTATATATATTATATATATACAAATTATATTTTAATTTCATTCCAAATCAAACCCTAAATTCATTTCTTCTCTCCCATCATTCACTTCTCTCCCTCTCCGTCACCGGCGACTTGATGAAGCATCGGCGGAGGTGGCCGCGTCCGTTGGAGTGGTTGTGGTGCATTAACTCCCTCACCATCACCCTCACCCCCACCCCCTATCTCTCTCTCTCTCTTTCGGCGGCGTAGAAGGTAGCGGATCTAAAAATGGTGGTCACGATGAAGGTGGCGTCACAACCGGAAGAGAATCTCCGACGCAGCGTTGAGGTGTGCGGTACGGTGGTGAGTGTAGCCCATTAAAAGAAATGGCACTGATATTTTGCTAGTGTTTTTTAATTGTTCTTGTTCACGTCTCCATTAAAAGAAATTCCTGTAATGAAAAATGAAAATTGTTAGATTGAAAAGAACATGAGGAATACAAAAACCCATTCCCACCTAGAAAGAAAGAGATAACTTGCGTACATAACAATTCTGTGTGCGTCACTCTGT